ACTACACTGGTAAAATGATTACCTTGGAAAATTGCTAGATCACGACATTGCTTGCGTTTCTGTTTGTGCTCCTTGATGTTGCGCAATTTGCGAACACGGATTTTGTAATTTATGGTGGTTTTCGAGGGTCTTGGCGTATGCCCTTTTGGAAAGGTAAGGTGCATGTTTTCTCACTTTTCGAATAAGGCTTTATATTGTGCGACATTGCAATGTTTATCGCGCACATTATCCTATTTTCATTTACTGTGTGCCTTGTTGGAGCTATATCATGGCCATCAAAATATGTAATTTTGCTTGTTAATTATATTAAGTAGAGAATATACAACCTGAAACCAATTGTACTGAACTTCTTTATTGTGCTTGTTTTGCACACCATTGTTGAACTTGGTGTCAGCGCATATATCTACTCTTGGTATGGTTTAGCTGCCTGGGTAAGGTAAAATTATGACTAACGTCTTTCTCAGCGACTCCCCTACCTCATCGTCAACATAATGTTCTACATTATTCGCTTTCTTCTTGCAGTAAGTAATTTTCAATTTCATTGATGCTAGTTAGTGGTTTATTAAATTATATTCCCATTCGTTTAAAGTATAAACAAGATAGCACTTTGTTGTTTCGTACCAATTTTGATTAATATCGCGTGGTATCTGTAGTGTCACGTATCATTAATGCAAAGTATACCCGCACACTATTTCCATAACCGATTTTATTTTAGATTTGGTTTATGGTAATAAGCTATTCTTACATACTGGAGCTCCGACAAGAACTTTACACGCCAATCGATCCAGAGGCAAGGCCAGAAATTGAACCAGCCAGTATAGTTCATAGTTTGGCATCTGGTGGTGCACATGGATCCAGGAGCGAAATTCAGTCATCAATCTTTCAACGGCAATAAACATACAGATCACAGTGTAATACTTTACCTAAGGTTTCCGCATTTCAAATTTGCATGAGAAAATCAGCGGTAACGACTTCTAAGATCCGTTGATACCTGACTGGTTAGGGGTTCTATTGAATTATGTGCCAAGTTGCTGAACCATCGGAAAAGATAATAAACGCGTGACAGCCTTTATTTTGCGGTGGCCCTTATAAAATAAGCAGATTCATGCACGCAAGTTGTTAATGGGGTTGCTGTAAAAGTACAAATGGGAGGATGGCCAGATTCATGTACTGAGTATGTGCACAGGGGAGAATGAACAGAAGGTTTTGCATGATTGATATAGACATCGTGAAGAGCGAAAGGCATCAAGTCTGAATATGCAGAGCCTAAATCAGTGGATCTAAATCAACATGAGTTACGGCAAGTAACATTCAATTCATTTCGGTTTATATTTGTCAGTGCTTCAGAAATACATTATGGCAATGTGGATGTGAGTTTCCAATGGGTGTTTCTTTTATTTAAGCTTAAACATACCTAACTTCCTACGAGTTACTCATCTTAATATAGAATTCGATTTATGTAGTCAGTTTCTTTTCTGTTTTTTTTTTCCGACTCCGACTTTTAAGCTGCATGTCAAGAGGCCGGTCCTTTTAATTGTGCAGACCTGAGTCAAAATTCCTGTAACCTTTTCTTGTCTTCATTTATTTCTGAGTATGTAGTAAATTTAGCGTACAAGGTCCTGTTTCTAGCTATAAACACCTATGACCTTTTTTTAAACCATTAGAGATAAACCAAAATGGTAAGTAACAAGCGGCAGTGGTCATGGAAGATATACTACTGAATTGCTGCACTATGCAAACGCTGATTTGAGATCTTTGTGCTCTAAAACGCTCCTTAAAAATTATCTACGCTACTACGCATTCAGCTTAAACTATTAGTATTCTGGTATCTCAGAAACTCAAAAAGCCTCTAACTCACCAACTCTAAAATCATCGTCAAATTTAGACGATTTACTTATCATTATACCATTAAAACTATCCTATTTTGATGCTATAATTAGACTCTAGTAATGATTTAAACGACTTCTGCAGTTAACATTATTTAGAGAATCTTAACTCAACCTAAACGATTTTAACCAAGAATCGCAAAAATCATCTTCATTTTAAAAAGTTATGACAAGTAGCCAATTACTACAATTGTTCCGGGTACGATAGCTTGATTTAATACCCTAGTTACTATCTGGTGGCCGCGCGTAAAAATTTGCAGACCTCTACTCCAAAACGTATTAAAACGCACCACGTACTCAAGCTCCTTTATATGTAGCTTTGATTAGAAGTGGAAAATGAGAGATAGGAAGTCATCGCAATTATTAGTTGCTAGTTTTAATGGTCCTAATGTGGGTTTAACACAAACACCGAGCCAAGTGTCCGCAGGTTAATGGGAAGGCAGAAGGCGGTAGAGGCTCAACCGTTGATTAGGCCCCTAAATCCGTTTTTCACAGCTTTGGATGATTAACAATGAAAATAACAGGGTGCACATGTCATTGTTTGCTTACGTAGAGGATTAGCGGAGTTTATCAAGGTGAAAACAAAGTCAGGGCCAGGAAGTCCATGGAATTAAGTAAACATGGGAATCGTTTATGTGTACTCTGTGGTGACGGTTGAGAATCTCCAAGATCCAAAACATGGGATTCGTCGGAGGAAGGTAAGCATGACTCTAACAGTCCCCCATTGCATATTTAATAGGAGCCTTCTATCGTTCTATAAACGCCTATTTAAAAGGGACAAAAAAAATTCTCATTAAGCAGATGTCTAATGATAGAACTAGGTTTTGATGTTTTATTGTGATATATAACCTTAACCGCCTCTAATGGTTGTTTCTTTAAGTAAATTCGTGTTAACGCTTATGGTCTTCATGAAGATTAACAGCCTCCAGAAATGTAGTTGCGGTCTCCAACAACATTGGATGCTGTCGATTCCCCTGCCAAAAATAAATGGTTTCGAGATCACGGCCATGTTCCCCTGGCCAACAAACGAGTCTGTATTTAAACCACTCAAAAGTACAATAGCCAAATATCTCACCAAAAAATCGTAAACACTTAGACTTATTTATTACCAACACACAATAAGACGACAGAAATCTATCAAATTTAAGGACTTCAATGAAATTTGATAATAATGGTCAAAGTTGATCTTAAGGCTGCTTTATTCTTGTGCCCACATTCATGCAAGTACCAATGTATGCAAGTCCATATGTCTTCAGATCGTGTGACGTATTTAACAAAAGTTCAAAATGCACTTTCTCCACTGTAAAGTTTCTCGTTACCATTCCTTTCTTTTTTCTACCGATGTCTAAAAGTCACAAATGGAACTGGATCCCGCGAAACATGAAAATTGAACATTTAAAAACAATTATTTCAATCACAGATTTACTTCGCCTCACAAGAAATGAGTGCATTCCTTACTTGATTAGAGATTCTTCGAAAGTAGGTAAAGTAAACCTAGCATTAGATAATAAAGAAAATTTTGCCGCTAAATAGACCGTTAAAGGATTACACTTTAGACAAACTAGGTAAACATTCGACATAGTTTCGTGATAATGGGTAGAGATAACCTTGAACCATAATAAATTTTTCAGCGAAATACTTGCCGTACTAAAAGGGGTTGGCGATTTAGCAGCTACATGACACTGAATGGAGTCGAATCTCCAGTAAAAGAAGGCGGCATTTCTCAGCACCACTTTTCGATGGAATTTACTTCTTTATATCGACCATGTTACACATTAGGTTATCTTTGACCATTATATAACCGTTTAGTGAAGATTTATCAGAAGCAAATATATGTCTTAAGCAGCCTGTACCATGCAGCACGAACGGAGGTTGAGCAACCGTAAAAGCATGGGTTTGTGATCATCTTAATGTTAAATTAACTATATAACACCCTTCCATTTTGGTTTTCTTTGATTGTGAACTGGGATTTAAGGCTAGCTAAGCAAGATTACGATTAAACGCTGATCCTCAAAAATTATATATGTAGACGGTATGTAAAAAG